AAAGAATTTACTTATTATGTGGTGCCACCACTAGATTTTATTATCTCTAGTGAAAATCATTAAACCCACCACAGTTGTGCCCAGTAGTTATTAAATTGCACTGCTGCCAATTAACACTACACTGTAACATCTTGCTTTTGGAAGCAAATGTATTACAAAATGCTAAGGCTCAGAGAAAATAAATGCCTCCCACCCTCATTATCAAATTACAATGACCTGTTTTCATTGGCAGAGTCTGGGCCTGCACAGGCGTGTAATATGTGGACCGCCAAACACAGTGCTTTGAGGAAATGGACCATCCAGCCTCTGGCCGAGGGGGGACAAGGGTTCTCCTCATGTGGAACTGGACAAATACAAAATGTAGAGATGATCAAGTACTAGATCTATTGGTCGTTAAACTGGAACGGGCCTGAAGATGCCTGTCATTTCACATGTCAAAGCCTTTCGGACATTCTCTTGGATTTCACACTTGGAGAATACAACCCTGCCTGTCCTTCACATCTCTACAGTTCACTTTCAGTGGCATTGCAAGTGTCTCAGCAGGGTACAAAATGCCAGAGATAAAAGACAAAAAGGAAGGAACTATGTTTCACGTTTCAAAACAGCTGCTTCCCCTTAGAGAATGGCTGATTATGTTATCAAAACATGTTGGTCATTTTGAAATTCTGATTTAAAAGAAAAATATCTCCAAATACTAAATATTACATCATACATTAAATCATGTTGTTGTAAGCTAATTAGTTTTATGCTAAATTATTGCTTCTTTAACAGCATACAAATGGATATATATTAAATAATGGTATTAATTACATTATGATGAAGCACATGATGTTTTCCTGCCGTCATGTAAACACTACAAGGAGTGCACTGCACATATCTTTATCTGAAATAAAACAGCTATATTGCTAGCCTTTGACTCAGACACCTTTCCCAGACGTAGCTGAATAATCCAGACATGCAGTTCCTTTTTTTGGCATATCACTCTGCAGGAGTCCAAATTCTGAGGTTCTCAATACATGAAGGAGCTGGCCTTTTTTTTAACTGGAGGTCAACATCTCCAGACTTGAAAGTCCATCCTTTGTTTTGAGCGTTTTGTGGACATGCTGTCATGACTCAGTGTCAAGCTTTAATGATGGGCTTGATGGAAGGAATCAAAGATCTCTGAAACCTGGGCATTTCCAGGCCACTCTGTGGGATGCAAGGTGATTGGGGAGAGTGCTTTGAAGCAACTTGTTGGATGGAGATCCATTAATGTAAAACATTTCAGTTTTCAAAGTGCTTTATTCAAGCTTGGAGTAGCTTGGCCCCTCAGGAGCTGAGATGTTCTTAAGAATGTTCTCTCTGTCAGTTTACTGTGAGAGGAGGTGAGTTAACTGGCCTTCCTCCCACTGATAGAAAATCAAATATTCGTCTATCTGGAGCATCCTTTCTCTTAAGGAGAAGGGGAAAAATATTTTCTTATTTATAATGTTTCCTGTAGCATTAGCATATTTAATATAGGGAAACAATTATGGAAGCTGACACGTGTCATTTTTGTTTTGTCAAGGTTACAAATAAAAATTATCAAGGGACAGCAGTAGTACCCCATGGAGATTCTCTTTGGATGATGTGAGGCTAAAGTTCAGATAAAGGATCCATCATACAACAGCTTTATGGGTCTTGAATTATGGATACATAGTCCATCAGCCTTCTTTGCATTACAGTGCTTTCCTCTGATTCTGGCTTACTGATGCCTCAAGTGTCACAGGAAGAAAAAAAAAGCACCCCAAGTAGAACTGGAGTGGTCCACCTCTGTCAGGAGGCTGTGACTGATTGGTTCAAGAGCTGTTCGTGATCCAAAGTCCCAACCTTAACCTGCCCTGTACTAGGTTGGGTGTGCAGCTTACGTTACCATGGTGATCTAGCCCACTAAAAAGTGATCCACCATAGTGAGACAGAAAATCCAGGTGAAATGACACCAAGCCTAAAGTTAGCGGGCTAAGAAAGAAATCCTGCTTCATGAGACAGGTTCCTGATTTGATGTGTTAGTGTGTTAGAATTTCAGAAGAGGGAAGTCAAAAGAAAATAAGTAAAAAACACATTTTAAAAACCTGGAGTTAAAAATGAATGAAAAGATACAGGAAATGGCACTCCTAACAACTGTTTAAGACTTGATAAACCACCAGAATTGTCACCATCAGATGAACAGTACAAGCTTTCAGATATCAAGCTCCACTCTTGCTTCAGATCTGAAAAAATCCACGTTCTGTCCATCCTTCTGTGTTAAGAACACAACACAGTGCAATGTGTCTGAAAGGATGTGTGGCTGTCAGGAAGCCATTACTGAGAAAAAGAAATAGACAAAAAAAGAAAATTTTAAAATCAAGTCAAGACCTCAACATCATTGATTGTGTTTGGGGTTACTTGGATTGTGAGAAGCAGAAAGAACAACCAACTTTAAGACTGACCTTTGGAGATGTGGAAAAATATCCCTGCAGACTCCTTTAAAAAACTGAAAGCAAGTGTCCTGAAAGGAATGGAAGCTGTAATAAAGGCAGAGGGTGGACACCGTAAACACAGTAAAATTTATTTTATGTTTAGTTGTTAAAGCTTCTGTATAATTTTCTGTGATATGTATCTGTTCTGCTTATTTTTCCTGATGCTGAAAAATAAACATGACTTTACTGGAAGTGTAGTGCTGTAGACTGGACTGCAGTGAGACTTTTGACATGAGCTTATGGTATGGGGACTGGGCATACGTTTTTGTCTGTATGTGAGGTATGAAGATGACCTGGCCCGAGGAACTCCTCATTCAGCTTCTATTACCCTCTGAGCTTTGTTCTACCACCTCCTTTTTCTACTGCTCCCTTGCCTACATGCAGAAACCAGGCTAATCACCAGCAGACCCTGTTGGCCTGCTCGCTCTCCCAGCTCTCTTCTGATCTAAGCTGACAACTCCTAAGCTACCGTTTCCTCATACTGTGTAACTCGGACCACATTTCCTCCTGGATAGAGCTGCATGTTCAGCTCAGTAGAGACCCGTTTCCCTGCCCCACTGCTCTGCACTGGGGCTACATCTGGTTTGAATCTCCTGGCGTGTGCTGCTGTGTCACTGTTAGGCTCTAGTTCTTGGCTTTAGCTTTGATTCTTCCTCCTCTCCCTCTTTGCACTTCCTGTGTGTGTCTATGTATGTGTGTGTGACTTCTTTGGGGAAAGTGTGTGAGGATGCTTGGACTTGCTTTATGGTCTTGAGTGCCTTTGCTTCATTGAGGATGATCCCTTTTGCTTGGATTTGTTCTGTTTTGTAATCCCAGGCGCCAGCAGCTGTTTCCTCTGTAAATTGGTGAGGTTTGGCCATTGATGTGTCTTAATCAATGATCAGTGCTTTTTGTTCCTTGAAGAACAGTTATAAATAAATCTTGGAAATAATGTTCCAGGATGTGTGCCTCACTTATCTTCACCTTTGTGAGCATTTGGCAATCACTGAATGCCCAACTAAGTTGTCTGTTGTTCTGGCAATATGTACATGTCTGTTATAGACGATTCCTGGGACCGTATAGTAAAATGAAACAAATTGCCTCAGAATCTTTTCATATGAGCAGATGAACTATGTATTTCACAATTCAGCCTTCAGATCCGGCTCATTATGCTTGTATTTTGTCCCTGAATGGTGTATTTACAGTTGGGTCACCCATTCTTTTGCTGACCAACCCTCAGTGTGAGTCACTTGAAAAAAGTTGTTGTACAACAATTTAAAAAACTGTAGGGAGAGTATGTGAAATGCTTATAAAAACAGAAAGCAGTGGTAAATCCACTCCACTCAAAGGCAAGATGTTTAATGTTTTGCCATATCAGCTTCATTGTTTTTTGTAAATATACTCTCGTGCTGAAATAGATGTGTGCAGTAGTTCCAAAAAAGTTAGCACATGGAGCAATTTAAGACTAGAAACATTGTGAAATGTTCAGAAAATGTCTTAAACAGGAGGTGCTATTACTCTTGGGTGCCAAAGGGGCATCCAGGAACAGACTAGTCCTTTATGAGCAAAATTGGATCAAGGCTTGCCATCAGATTAAGAACAGCATTCCTCAATAAGCATATCAAGCATTTTAGATATTCTCAGATATGCTCAGGAATTGTTTGACAAACCATTGTCAGTAAACACTGTTTGTAGGTGCATCCACAAAATGCAAATTATGGCTGTACTGTGCACAGCGGAGGCCATATGGCAGCAATGTCCATAAACGCTGCCGACTTCTCTGGGCTCAAGTTTATTGAAATGGACTGATGCACAGTGGAAATGTGTCAATCTCTAAGACACATTTCCACTGTGCATCAGCAGGTTCTCCTGGCCAAAGAAGAAGGGACTATCTAGATTGATATCACCACGAATTTCAAAAGCCAGGGTCAGTATTTATATCCATGGTGTGGTTAACTTGCACATCTGTGAAGTCACCATTAACTCTGAAAGATATGTACACATTTTGGAGCAATATGTGCTGCCTTTCAGCGACATATTTTTCAGGGATATCTGTGCATATTTCAGCATGACCAGGCTAAGCCACATTCTGCACATTACAACAGCTGCATAATGAGAGAGTGCAGTGCTAGACAGGCCTGCCTGCAGTCCTGATCTGTCTCCCATTGAAAGTGTTGTGCGCTACTGAAGTGCAACTGAATTTTTGCTTAACGGAAGAATGGCCAAAACTGCTGCTTTCAAAACTAGCTCAGTTGACTCTTCAGTCTCCAAACTATTATGAAATATTGTTAAAAGGAGAGTTGATGTAACACAATGGTAAACATGCTCCTGTTGCAACATTTTGGAACATGTTGCATGCAGATATAGTTAAAAAAAACCTATACAGTTCTAAAAGTAAAACATCAAGTATAGTATTTTTCGATTTTCAAGCCCATCTGTTTTGGAAGTGAGTTTTGTATATATATATTGACTCTATTCAAGGTAATTTATTATGCCAATATAGAATTTTTTGCAGTGAAATACAGACTTGTGTCCCTTGTGCAGGCAGCAGCACGAGAAACGATCGCGAAGATGCTGGCAGAGCTGAATCTGGGGAGTACGGAGAAGTGCGTACGGGTGAACTCCGTGTCCAGCGGTCTGGCTGAAGCTGACCTGGAGGTCATTCTGCAGGCGGAGGTCCTGCCCCCAGCGCTCATGCTGCCAAAGGTGGAGGACACTGGAGAAGTGCAGTGGGTGAGTGCAGACAACAGATCAATGCAGCATCCAGGACAAGCTTTCCAGCATTGCTTTCCCAGCATTGCTGTGTGAACCAACTTTATAAATCAAGGAGACAACATGAGTGATGGTAAAAATGTGCATGATGCAGAAAAAAGGTAGACATCTTGATGTTTTAGAGAATATTTGAAATACCAATTCAAAAGAAATTTGAGGTTGATTGTAAAGTTGTGGTAAAGACAGAATACGTTAGCATGGCTCGAAACCAAAGTTTAGGTTCAAACTAAGGAAATTAATTGGCCGTGAAAAAGTATTTGTCCCTTCTTGATTTTCTCTAATACTGCATATTTGTCACGATGAATGTTTTTAGACCTTCAATCAAAATATAAGATTAAGATAACCTTTTCAAACACAAAACATGTTTTAAATGATTTAATTTATTTGAGGAGTAAAGTTGTACAACATGGAAATCACCTGCATGAGAAAGTAGTTGCCTCCTTAGTTACTTGAGCAACAGCATTTAACTGTTAATGAGATTCAGCTGATTGAGCACAGCCAGGCTTAAATGCAGTCTGCCCTGTTGAATATTAATGTCACTCATATTGACGTTTAGCATCAGTTTGATGTTGGCACAAAGTTTTTTACAAGCACACTAGACCATGGTAAGAAAAATTCAAAGGATGTAGGAAAAAACACTGTTGAAATACATCCGTGTTGCAGGGGTAACAAAACCATTTCTAGGACATCACCAAATCACAGTGTGAGCCATTGCCTACAAATTGAGAACCTTAGGAACACTGGTGAATCTTCCCAGGAGTGGCCGGCTTGCCAAAATTTGCAGTATAGAAGCAAATCATCCAGGAAGTCACCAAAGGTTCCAGGAGAATGTCCAAGGAGGTACAGGTCTCTCCAGGATCAGCTAAGGTCAGTGATCATGACTCCACTGTAAGAAAGGGACTGGACAAAATTGGCTTTCGTGGAAGAACAGCATCAGTGCACATCTCACTTTTGTAAAAAAGCTGGGGGACAAGACTTTTGGGACAGTATTCTATGCACAGGCTAGTCTGTATAACTTTGTTGACAACACTGTAAAGCAAGTTCTACATTTCGCAATAGGACATTGTAACATGCTGGTGATAATAAGAAGGTGTGGGGATGTTTTGCTGTCCATGATCTGGAACTGATTGGGTCATGCAAGTCAATGATCCAAAACAGAAAAGCAAATCTAAATCTGAGTGGCTGAAAAGAAACAAAATTAATGTTTTGGATTGGCCCTATTAAAGTCTTGACTTGAACCAGGTGTAGATGCTTTGGTGGGGCCTCAAATGAGCAGTTTATGCTCAGAAACTTACCAATATATCTGAACTAAGGCAGACCTTTATTAAAGGTCTCAAACTCTTCTAAAACAATGCAAAAGGCTGATATCCAATATAGGAAATGTTAGTTGCCGTTATTACTGCTAGATGTCATAATACAAGTTATTAATTTTAAGAGGGCAATTACTTTTTCACAGGTGTGATTTGACTTATTGGATAGCTTACATTTTTCTTGCATTTTATTATTTCTTTCCACTTATAATGTATGAGGTCCGCTTATAATGTATATGTCAGTTTATGTACCAGTAAGTAGCTATAATGCTCCTTATAATGTCAGTGTGAATGGGTGAAAAATTGAATTTCAGACAGGCTGTTTTTGCACTGTATGGGCTAGGAAGTGGATGGTACATTGTGAAAAAAAATGTTTACATACTACATCAAACCCTTTTATTTAATAAAAGTGAAGAAAATTCTGTTTTCCATGGTAAGGGCTAAATTCAGTTTTCCAAAATGCAAAAGCATTTGCTGTGACAAATATGCAATAATAGGAAAAATCAAGACAGGGCTAGTTCTTGTACATGGCACTATACACATAATACATTGATTTAATAATGAAAGCAGTATTATGTCTAGTAAGGTGGACTTCTTGCATAATTTTTCATACCAGTAGCTTTAGTTAACATCAATCTGGCGCAGTGTTGAGCTGAAAGACTATGCCTAGCATTATATGAAAAATGAAGACCTAAAAATACCCATGACATTTTCCTGGTCGTCTTTAAAGAACACTCTGATCGCTCCATACATAACCGCTGGAGAAAAAGAAAACCTCAAAGCAAGAATAACAAATTTTCACTTTTAAAGGGAGAGAGTCGATCCCTATAGCCTGACTCAGAAAGAGATGTGCTGTTTTTCTTGAGCCAAAGCCAAGAAACAGATGACCTTTTGAAACCGACCTCACGTCAGATGTGACACAAAATACGTCGACCTCAGCCTCTGAAAATCTGAACCCCTTAAAAAACATTCTTGGTGGCTAGATGCAGTGATATTTTGAATAGCAGTATAAGAAATATCAAAGCATGAAGTGATTGTCTCCCCAATGTGGATTAAGCTTTTACGGCCCAGTAGGCCTTAAACTCATTCGTTAAGCACAGCCTTGGCTGGCTGACCGGATGCAGTAGTCTGTGCTAGTACTGACGCAGCAACACTGAGCTGGACTTCAAGGTCAGCAGACCATGTGGCTCTCTATAAAGCCCTCAACACGGATGCCGCTCCCTCTCAGGTCAGGAGACAGTGACATCATTAAACGCCCTTGTTTCCTGATCACCTCCATATGTGTCCCGCGTGGTGGAGAGACCTCTTCTGTCTGTCTCTCTGTCCATCAGAGGAGACTTGTCCAGCAGGCCCCCTCAGCATAGCAGCCCCCAACCACAAAAAACCCAAGCCCCCAACCACAAAAAACCCAACCCCCCAACCTACCTAGGCGAAATCTGCAGCATTCAGCTGCTCCACATGCCTCCCAAAAAGACCTGAAAGGAGTCACAATGTCTTAACTAGGTGGAGGAAGGGAGTGAGAGCAAGACAGGTGGAGGGAGGGGGCCTCAGTCTGTAGCTCACAGCTAGTCCAGGCCAGAAGCAGGAAGTTTTTAACTAGTGGTTTTAATTAGTGCTCATATATTTCCTGGGCTGCTCTGTTTCTTGCCTTTTTAATTGCCGACAGGTGCTCATTTTTTTTCCCCCCCTCACTCTCTCCGTCGCGCTGTTCCTAGATTTTTCCACCCTCTGATTTTCTTCATTCAAAGAATATTTCCTCACTCACCGTGAGCCTCCTGACATGCTTGGGTCAGGCTATCAAAAAAAGAGGAAGAGGTTTGAGAGACAGTTGACCAGTTGGTTTATGCAGTCTTTGATCAGTTTTACTTTATATGTTTTGTAGGTTTTTGCTGTCATATTAAAATCTCTCCTTCCAGCATTTTGTTTTTTATTTTCTTTTACATCATTTGAAAATGCCTGCTGCCTTTTACATTATGATAACCTTTTCATCACCAATACACCAACAGAAATGGTGTTAGAAATCTTGCTACATTAATGTACATCTAAGAAGGGTTTTTCCTTGTATTGTATAATTACATTTCCAGAGATACAGAAGTACCTGATGATTCCCCCTCATCTTCATAACTCTTAATTAAAGAGCTGGTTATAATATCAGCAGATTTAATTTCAAGCAGAGTTTTCATGTGAGTGCACTGTGGAGAAAATGAATGACTCTTTACAGTGGTGATAAGAACCAAAGGTAACAATGTCTACAACACAAATATAGCCATCCAAAACCACCAGGAAGCCTACATGTGTCCTCTGAGTTTTCATATGTAAAGTTCAAGTCATAAATCTAAAAATGTGTTTTCCTTTTGGTCTGTTTTGCCTTACAACACACTGCATGTACGCCTCCACCATGAATATGTTAAAAACAGTAAATTAAAATAAATTGAAAATATATTTTAGGCCAAAACCTTACCTCATCATGGGTATCAGGCAGCATATTCATAACCTTTGATGTAATAACTTTGTCTGATGTAGCTTTTAGAGGCATTAAACACTTTTGACTTCCGGTTCCCATCATCGCCACTGTGAACAGTTCTGAGTTTCTCTACAATGCACCATTTCTCATCAAACCACTCTAAACAACTTGTTTTACATATTAACAATTTAATAATGTATAAATTTTGAAAAAAAATTAATGGGGTTTCCTTTAAACAAACTCCAATAGTTTTAATTAAACAGTGCTTTCCTGACTCACATTAATGTCAAATGTCAGTGCTCAACATGATTATCAGTTCTCACTTGTCAGATTTCTTAGACTCAAACAGTAGAAGCTCGCACATTTTTAGATTGGTTGTTCAAAATCATGTCTCATTCCTGAATGTTCTTTTATTATATACCTATTTAAAGAGAAAATATCAGTGCTTTACTGGTGGGATTTCTACTCAAGTCGCTAAATTTGTGGAATATTAAAATTTTTATCCACCAAGCTATATATCAACTAGGCCAGAGTTTTGAGCTGTGATTTATTATTCCATTGGCCATCTCAAGCAATGCTTACCAATTAACAATAATAATAAGTTCACTGTGTGTGTGTGTGTGTGTGTGTGTGTGTGTGTGTGTGTGTGTGTGTGTGTGTGCGCGTGTGCACGGGTGGGTGTGTGTGTGAAAAAGTCTGAGAGAGGGAGAGAGAAGCATTTTGTTCTGTGCGGATGTGTAGACGTATCCTCTGCACATGCCTGCCCAGAGCCCAGCTCATAGCCTCAGCAGGGAGCGGGAGATTGCGAGTGGTGCAGGACGTCATGTAGCACTGACCTGACATGGGCCTGCTGCTTTGAAAGTAACGAGAGAGAGAAAGACAGAAAGACATGAAAGGAGTGTCTCTCTTTCTCTCTCACTCTTCCTCTTACCCTCTATATCTCTACACAGGTGCACTTACTGACTGCCCTCAACACCTCATTATTATCCACTACTAAAAATAAACAATTCATACTAGAGCAGTTCAACATTTACAGCAATGCAAGTTTTAGATGTGTTCAATGTATTGTCTCAGAAGATATGTTTAATTCATTTTCAAACTGTTTGGAAATGGTTGCAGTTCTTCTAAATGAGCATTACTGACTGTACTTCTTAGCCTAGCATGCTGTACTAACATGCTTAACAGGGCTGTTTCTGAACATTTTGGGGCTCTTGACAATATCCTACTTGGCCATATTAAACATGTTGTTTTGTATAAGAAAGAAAAATAAATAGTTTTCTCTTAATGAATTCTTAGGTAAACAACAGAACATTGACTATATACAAGTGAATTAGATGCTTTAAAAAACAATATAGTCAAAGAAAGCGGTATGATGTAGTGGGTATCACTCCATGTGGCTGACTGGGCTTTGATTCTTTGCCTGGGCAAGCACACCATGCTATATTAATCTTGGGCAAGACTCCTAACACTACAGTTGACCTACCTCTGTGACATGGTTAAACTGTAAGTAGCTCTGTATGAGGGCATCTGCCGAATGCATAAATGTAAATAAAATTACAATGTAGGCATGGACAATATGATGTGATATATCGTATCATGATTTATGCCACATTGTGTCACAATATGCTTCTCTAAATATGTAGTGGATATTTTTTAGTACTTAAAGAACACTGGCCGGCTGCATGTTTCAATACAAAAAGAGCATAAGCTGTTCTGTTTGATTAGATTTAGTGCGGTATGTGACAGATTGAATAAAAATAAATGTGCTTAAACTCAAACTTATTGATCTTCTAAAAACTAAATATTATGATGTGTATCATGAAAATGTCTTAAGGTATCTTGATGCTATTTTTTGGCTATATCTACCACATAGAGTGTATAAGTGGTATATTTATCATTCATTCACCATTATGGAACTAAAATGCTACTAAGTCTGTCTCTCTCTCCCTCTCTTTTCTCTCTTTCTTGACTTTGTGTGATTAGAATATTGTTAACTGCTCCTCGGGGGCTTGGAGTACTCCAGCCTGATTATGGCTCTCCCTCCTCCTCCTCCTCCTCCTCCTCCTCCTCCTCCTCCTCTTGTCCTCTGCCATCAGGCCTCAAATCCGTCCGCTGTTTGTCTTCTTCTTTTCTCCACCTAGCTTAGCAGAGGAACCTCCACACTGATTTGTTGCTAAAAGACGGACTTACTTGTTTCCCTTTGTGTGAAAATCTTTTGCTCTCCCTTTCTCTTTCCTTTCTCTTGGCTTGTTTGACTGACAAGGCTTATTGGAGTATAACAGGCGTAACTCCCTCCCCTTTGTCTGAGGACAATCCTCCCACAAATTCGGAGCTGCGTGCATTCTTTAGCCGCCACGCCATTGGGTGTGCACCAGCTTCTGAAAAGGTCCGGCTCCAGTCCCAGCCCTCTAGTCTCTCTGCTTTTCCCTTTCTCTCTCTCTCTCTCTCTCTCTCTCTCTGTCTCTCTCTGTCTCTGTCTCTTTCTTTCTCTCTCTCTCACTCATATTACCCTTCCCCCTTCAGTTGAAATGAGCACTTCACCAGGCCGGAAACATTTAATCTGGCCCTCTTTTGAAGAAAATTAATTGAAACTTGTCCACTCGCCGCCCTTTTTTCACCACAGCTCTCCTTGTCCCATGATCACTTTCTCTTCAATCCGAGGCTTTTTTCTTCTCACTATCTGGCCACTGAAGTATGGGCTAATGCAGCTCTTATTGAAGACTGGGTGCTTTTTTCCCTCCTTCTTCTTCTTCTTCAAGAAATTCTGAAAAAAGGAGTAGAAGGGTCAGCTCACGTAGAGCCATTGACCTACTAGAAAAGCCTTTTTCTCTTCCAACCTGGGAACAGTATTATTGCTTAAGCACCATTGAGGAAAATCAGGAGATCCCCCGGCTGAATAAGTGTTGAATAGAGGCCGTCTCTCCATACACTTCACCAACATAAAGTCATAGGCTATACCTGTAATTTGTTGCCACTACTCGACATCGTAATAGCCCACTCAATCATGGCGCCTGTGTTGTGAACTGTTTTGATTCCAGGCTTTTTATTTCTTCTCTAGGGCCATATAAACTCTTCATCCCTGCCACCCGCAATTAACGCACAGAATGCCAGGGCAGTGACGAGAAATGGGGTAGGGGTGGGAGAGGGGTAGTGTGCGGACGCTAGGGCGCAGCGCCTGGTTGGGAACGCAGCCCTCTCTCAGCGTTCGGGGGGAGTATTATGCTAAGCCCTCAGCGTTAGTTTTTATGTTGCCATAGCAGCGTTGCTCCTGCAGGGTTGTGACCTCAGATGATTACAGTACAAAGCTTATTGGGTCTTGAAAACCCCTTTGAAGATGAAAAGGCTTTGATGGTTTATATTTATGCAAATCTCTCAGATATGATTTATCCTACTGAGATTGAATGGGGAAATGATTAAAATTCTCCCTATTAGAAAAAAAATCCCTCAATGAAGCCGTATTCTTTGAGCTCATAAAACAAGCGTGCATGGGATATTTTTGTCTTTATTTGGGGAGGAAGGAAAAAAAAAATAGGCCGGACTTACCTGGGTTATTTTGATCCTCAATCCCCAGTGTGTGAAAGAGAGGGGACAGGGAATTACACATTTCTCCTATGAGTTTTTCTCTCTCTCTCTTTTTCTTCCCCCACCCTGTCTCCTTTTTTTCCTTTTTTTTTTTTTAAACTGGCTTTGAAAGGAAATATCTGACGGAGGGTGCTTTTGTGTGTTTCCAGATGATAGATTTTGGAATTCGGGCTACCCCACTGGCAGTGCACAGCTAGCTGTGAACTGGTCTGTTGGAAAAAATTGGAATGCTTTGGTCTTCAAAGAACTAAACTTCATTTTAAAGCCTTCTTAGGTAAGCTTAAATATTAGTGGGAAAAACGCAGGAGAATGAAAGGCTGGGAGAAGTGTCACATCACACCCTGATTGTCACACGTCTCGCTGGTCCGTCTGCCCGGGGAGGCTTGGGGGGAAAAAAAAAACATGCATAATGCCAAAATGAAATGCACTCCCAGAAAGCCTAAATCTTGTCCCTTGGCTTTTCATTTTCCCTCTTTTCTCTCTCTAAAGACGCACTGGAACATGTAGTATGTCTTGAGGGGACTTGCGAAGCAGCCGTTAGTCCGGGGCCCCAAGAGTGAGTGAATACTGTTGCGTTTCTAAAATAAAAGAAAGAAAGCCTATACCTCTCACTTCTAAACCCTGACTCAGGATATTTTTTCCCTCTCGGATTTAATTGGATGTCTGTCACATGTAATGTGCCATCAGTTTGAACATGATTAAAAGAATTTTTTTTTTAAAGAGTTCAAATGCTGATGTCAGACAGGCTACGAAACTAGCCACAATAACAAACAGTTTCCCCTTTTTTTCAGATGGTGATCTTTCTCATTGATGTTCCCCGCAGATCAGTGCTGGTCATTATTTATGAATAAATAATGATTTGCGTGTGTCTCTGTGTGTATGTGTGTGTATGTCAGTTTGTTGACAGGTTTCAGCAGCACTTAAAAGGCCGGAAGCTGATGGAACCCATTCGCTTAGTCACCTTTGTGGAAACTGCTGTGGGGTTGCTGAATTTTAAGGTAAATACCAGCCTAAAAATGCAGATGTAAGAAGTTTGTATACCAAAGCAATCAGATTAAAGAAGCTGTCACTGTGCGCAGTATGTCAGTGTTTGCAGTTTTTTTGACAGGTTTTTTTTTTTCCTTTGCAGTTAACTATTGGGCCATAGTTGACGTGGAAGTCCACCTATTCTTTTTATTTCTGTATAATTCAACCGTTGAGATAAAATCTTTCAGACTAGTTTGATGTGAAATCCACTTATATTTGTTTACAATGGTGGTGATAGGAACCAGGGTTTGGAAGGCCATATTAAACGTGTAGAGCAATAGTAATAATAGTGGAACAGTGAAAAATCTATTAAAAAAAAAAAAGGTTTCTTTGGTGACTATTTTACCTTACGTATGCCTATCCACCATCAATGAAGAGTTTAAAAATTGTTTTAGTCCAAAACATATCACAACAAAAGGGAGCTTATACTGAAATTTGGAATTCCCCTTTAATTGGGCTGTAAATAAAAAGTGCCCCATGTGACCTTGACACATTCACAGGGGAAAGGCAAGACTCTTGCATGGACTGGAAAAAATGCAGCTCAATTTCTTCTGATTTCATTTTTCCTTGTTTTTTGATATTCCATTCTTTTTTCCTCTTAGTCTTGATCCCATCCCAAAGCGGGGACCGAGAAATATTGCAGAGTCACAGCAAGAAGTGAAATTAATTTGGAGCCTTGCTAAAGCACGAGACAAATTCCATCTGCTCCATGCCTGACACAGTCATATCACATTCCAAACTTTCCTTTCTTCAACACAACTTTGGTGCTCTTTCCCAGTTTTGGACAGCCTTCACAGATTATGATTTTGTTTTTGTTTTTTTGTCTTGTCTTGTTTTGTTTTTTTTCTCCTTTATTCACAGGGACAGAGCCATATCAGGCCATTAATTATGACTGTGTGTGTATTGTTTTTATAACTGATCGGTTTCCATGTCTAAACTTCTATGTGAGGAGCTGAAGCAGAGACATTGATTGAGGGAGTTATGGGGGAAATTTGAGACATCTGACTGGGAGACTTGATCGAGTGCCAGAATACACACGCACACACGCTCTCTCACACACACAGACAGAGCTCTTTGTGTCGCCTCTGTGTGTCCCAGGCTGTGTGTGAAGAGATCCGGCAGCTCGGACCAAAAGTTGGTCTGCATCATGACGGAGTGGTGTTCGGCTCCGATGACTTCTGTGCCAGCATAGGTCTGCCCATTAATACACTGCTCTGTTCTTTTACGCTGCTTGATCTGTGATTGTTATTGTTATGACAGTAACTCATATCTCATTGGCTGCCTCAGCTGTAAAGGCCACAGTCAGTCTTTTCATTTTCATTCTTTCATTTACATTTGTGCCTTAATGTTCCACCTCTGATCTGTTCATGCATGCGATATTGTCTATTTTAAAGGTGCCACAAGGACCAAAGATGCCCGAGAGCTGTTGTATGCACGTCAGAAAGTTGTGGTCACCACTAAAGCTTTTGGCCTCCAGGCTGTTGACCTTGTTTACATTGACTACCAGGATGGAGAAGGGCTGCGGCAACAGGCCAGAGAGGGCGCACTCATGGGCTTCACTGGTATGCTGTTCAGTCAACTCACACACTATGTCACTATGTGGAGTTGGAGTTCGATATCTTTGTGCTAAACATGTCCTCCATAGTGCTGGACAGTATATTGGTTTGCGTGTCACACAGCAATACTGGCTTGTGGTTTTAGCATTATTGTTAGAAAAACAGAAACTTAGTTGAAAAGTAAGTCATTATATGGATATTTCAGTTTGTCTAAAAAGTTTCTAGGGCTTTCCAATACAGTCCAGTAGTTACTCAATTTAATATATTTTTCAATACAGCAAAACTAAGAAGTTTGTATGTAGAATTGTTTCCATTTTAAGTTAATTAGTGCGTCAAAGTACAATATTGAATACAAAAACTGCACTTTATACTGTCCTGTTTAAATGCTCTCATGCCAAGCTGAGACACTAGCTACAAGCTTACACGCTAGTCACACTAATACAAAATTATGCAATATTATACGTTGCAACATGTTGTAATACAGTTCCATACAATATGACACTATGCAGTACATTTGTTTATGTTTCAATTTAAGAGAGGCAAAACCGAACAGTGCAATCAAAACAAGCTGTGTCAGGTGTGAAACATTCGTATAGCATACAAGTACTCAGGAAACATAGGTTTATTTGTTCATTAACTTTATTAACACTAACGTGTTACAATATTTGATGGTATTTCTGAAAATATTTTGATATTGAATTGTGTCGGTACCCAGCACTACCTCCTTGATCCTATAATACATCATAAAAGCTAAATGAATGCAAACAAACAAAACACGTACAGTAACATGTAACACAAATTTCTTGTTTTCTGTAAAGTTATATTGATATGTGGGTTAGATGACTTTTCAATGTTTTCCGGCTCTTGCATAGACTTGTTGAATTCCATCAGCAGCACCTGATTTAGTTTGATGAAGGATTGATTAGATAAACTTGGTAGTGGATGGTAACTATAAATACAGAGCTTCCACGAAGAAAGCTTTGAAAATGATTATGTTAAAACAGTGACAGACACAAAATAACATTTTGTTTAATTATTTATTTGTATTGTAAACAGCTTTACAAGTAATTTTCTAAGAAGCCTTTTGCACAGTTCTGTATATAGTCTCTGCATTACTTTGCACTGATATCACCTCTGTGTTTCTGCGGTACTGAATAAATCCACTACAGTCAGTATTTTGTTCAATCACTAATTCTTATGATAGTCCTTCTTCTATATTCTCTTATTATGTACTACATGTCCTCTATAGTCTGTTAATAATACTATATTACAGTGTCCCAGTGCAGGAACATACTGTAGGTATATGTGCTTTATAGGCCCATCTGCTGTAGTGTAGAGGGTGCTCGGGTGCTGTGGCTGTCCCTCAGGCTGCGCGGCTCTCTTCATGTTTCCGTGCCTGCTCCTTTGAGTCCTTGGCCCGCTCGTTTACTGGAGTTCCAGCTCATTAGTGCTTTTATGAATTCTTCAGAATGCCGCTTTGAACCCGACCGCTCAGCCTTCTTGATGCAGGCTTTTCAGGAATGTGTGACAGCTTGTGCCATTGCATTTATCTTACTTGTGTTTTCATATTTTGGCGCGAAGGATTTCATAAATGAACCGACTGCTTGCTACCCAGTTGAACACTGAATTTAGGTCTGATTTGAGGCCTTTGCGCAATTTGGTGAGGTTATTTTGTGCACATACTTACGTAGTCTGAGTGTATTTGTGTGTGTCTGTGCATATTCCTCATTGCACGGCTGTATGTTTGCGGCTAAGCACTGTGTGGGTTTGTAGCCAGGCAACGCGTGCGTGTGGAGCCCCGGTGAGCGGGTAACTGGCCACAGGAGGCCACAGGCAGCCCTCCTCTGAGCCTCCGCTAATGAATATGTAATGGCTGTTTGCAGAACACACACTGTTCCCCCTGCTCATCTCTGTTTACAGCAACACTGCCATTCCTCCAGAGCGCAGGGCTTTTGTCTCGCAGCATTCTTCTGCTCCCCTCTTTATCCCCTCTTTCCATCTTTCTCTATTTTACCACTTTCTCCACTAAATTTAGTTTGCTATGTGGACCACATATTAAACGTCCAATGAATGTGATTTAATGTGCTTACGTTCTGTTATGTGTGGCTCCGGTTGAACCAAGAACTAACAGTTGCTGCGTAGAAATGTAAAATAAAATGCATGTCAGTGGTTGAACTGAAAGTATTTTCCAAATATTTCATAATTTGTTGCACAGTGCAAGCACATTCTGGAGACAGCCACAAAATTGGGGTTAGGTGTAATTTGCACAGTCACAGAGCCAGACTGAGTGTGCCAGTTCACAGAGTACCGGTGGAGCATTCTGTCCGCCAGCGTGCATCTACCGGCAGGAGGGATGGAGTCTCATGAGTGCATTCTGAGCCTGTATGAGTGAGAGTGAGTGCAGATCCCTCAGCTAGCTGCTGAACTCCACAGCAGAACCGTTAGCCACTGCTAGACACTCTGCCTAGGTGAGGAAGCTCACCACAGACACTGTTTACACTTTACACCCTCCATGTGTCTGTGAGTGTGGGTTTGTTTGTGAGTGCATATAGAGAACTGAAGCCATCTCACTGTGATATAGCTCATTATGCATTTTACAAAACCCTTATTTTTAATGATTTTTGGAAACATGCATATAATTTGACATTTACAGTACTGTTATTTAAAGCGAGTTTAAGAATATAAGTCAAATTTCAGTTTCCTTCATGGTCAGTCACTTTTAGGGATGCATCACTATGGGAGTTGTGTGATGCGGATATCTTATATTTCACTTATATTGGATATTTTATGGATGCACACACATTTATATATTGTAGAAATCAGGACTAAATCTACCTGGATTAGCATTGTGGAGAATTGCAACATTTAATTCTATAGGATTACAAAGTAGTAAAATGAAGAAAATGCTGCATTTTCATAGTAGCTAGTTCTCACATAAACATTCTGCACTTCCAGCACAATAAATATATTATTAAATATCGGTTTGAAATATATATATATATATATATATATATATTGTATTTTTATTAATTTGTTTATTTATTATTCGGCAATTAACAAGTAGAGGAAAAAATACATTTATTTAATCACTTGTTGGTCTGAATGTTCTAACTCCTGTGTTCTGTGACCATCTGATTGTATGATCTCCTTTGCACGTTGTTAGTGTTTCATTGCTGCGTTAAAGCACATCATTCTCGTTAAAGCTCAAAAGGGTTTGTCTGTGATTTACAAAATTACAGAAGTACTAATACATTGACACATGATGTTTGGATTGAAAGGCTCCTCTTGTATTTAAATTATGTGAAGATTATTTTATGATTTTTTTTTTACATAATATTTAAAGTTATATACAAATTGGCATTCTTTTTTTTTCATTTAGCAGTTTCTGAATTTTGACTTAATTCACTTTTGCACTGATATTCTGTAGAAGACTTACAGAAAGAAAAACCCAAAATCATTAAACTGCCAAAATTCCTCTTTTTGGTACTGTGAACGTGGTCTAACTGGGGCTTTCTGCTAAACCAGAACTCCCCAATGAGATGTTCCCACACCAGATGGCATGCTGTGATTGGTTTGCCAGCTTTGGGAAGCGTTAGTGATGCACTGTATCCGACCAATAGCAACGTGGCGATAGAGCCAGGCACGCCCCCTGTGCTGGCTCTGTCACTAGCTGGTTCAGAGCAGACAGCTTCTGAACAGGTGGCGGTACAGGGAAGGGGGCATATTTTGTTGATGTGAGGGAACTACCCCCTGCCAGCCTTTTCTGGGCTGGGCGTCACAGACGCGGGCCCTGAGCCTCCTCTTTAGGCTGTTGATCCAACAGGCTGGCTCCTCTGGGACCGGAGAGGGACAGTACACACATCGCTCTCCACCCACACCCTCCGCTCCTCTGCGTACGCCGGCCCCTGCCTGCCCGACAGCTACAAACACGCTTGCCAAGCTGGTTTGGTTTATTTACATTTAAGTGTACGTCTCCCTGTCATTTGTAAACAGCATTTTTTTTTCTTTTCTTGCCCCTTAGCTATTTTTGTTGTGCATTATTCATTAACTGTTGCTGGATGTAAGCGAGGCAGTAAGCTGCATATTGTAGAACATGCAGTCTCCATGTCACTGAAGCAAATGTGACAAAAAGTAACACCTGTGCCTAGTACAGCAGTGTGTTAACATATTAAAGCCTAATAATGTCAATCATATGTTACATCGTGAGTGAAATGTGTGCAAGTTGAAATGTGTCGCACATGGCTGCGAGTTGTTCAGAGGGGTTAACTGGGGTAAGGCTAGCAGATGGAGCTAATGGTTTTCTCATGCGTCGAATTCCCAGCCTGCCAGCTACCTTTGCGGATTTGTTCTTCAGAGACTCTTAAGCCGTAAAGTGACGGGTCCAACGCTGACGGCTGTAGTGCCTCGGCGTTTTCTAGCACCTAACTTGCAGCTAGGAATTATGTGCTGGAAATCCAGTCAGCATTTTGCTGCTGCAATTTTGGACAGATGTTATTTAAATAAATAAGGGTTATTTTGCTGCCCCTGACCGTCAGACAGGTCAGCTTCTCGAGATGAATGTAAAAAAGTGGGTAGCCCTTGATTAAAAATTAATTTTGATGATAGAAGTGCAGTGTCCAAATGGGTGATTTAAATATAAAGGGTGAATAAGTATTTTTGGATTTACGCATATTGTACAACATTTAACTTGCAGAAGGATTCTAGGATTTTTTTCCCTTGTTTTTTGTGTATAGAGACATAAGCAAATGGCTGCCACACATCATATAAAGTGAGATTTCATGGTCATCAGTTATAGTCTTCTCCAATTTCTCACCCCACTATCAGGTCATTAACACACTCAAAGCTGAGCCTTACAGACATCAGTTGCTTACATCTATTGTATGTGTGGTGTGTACTTACGATTGTTTCCACATTTTGACTGAACTGTAAGACTGTATATGTAATATCTAAAAATTCCCCTACTTAAAAGCATAAGCCTGCATAAGTTAATCTTGTAAAAACTCTCATAGTTTTAGTTAACAGTGATTCACTGACTGATCTGATAGTAAGCTGTCAAATATGACTGCCGTCTCAACTGTCAGATTATACTCAATAAACAGCAGAAACAGTCTTAAAGTCTTAAATACTGTAAATAGCACTGGAGCAGAGCTTCCCAGAATTTTTAGCAATTTTGTTGGTTTCTGTTGTTTAGCTCTTACTTTCCTTATTTCTTTCATCAAGTTCCTGTGAGGAATCAGTTTTTTTTGTGTTATCTTCATATAAAAGTTGCATTTTATGTTTATTTTTATTGTTTTAACTATGATGTTACTTGTGTTCAGGTTTAGCAGTTCAGCCTAACTGAACTGTAACTGTCCTGTAACTGTGATAGAAATACGCTTAGTGACTGTAAGCTTAGCAGACTCCACACATTTGCAAAGAAGTTATCTGTACTATTCTTAGAATTCTTAGAAATGCTTAGAAATTCTTAGAATATTTCTGTGTACTTATCAGTGTTTATCAGCAGCATTTTTCTAATACCAGTAAATCCACAGGATGTCCACGTGCCCAATATTATAAGCCAATTGATATATTGGTTGGGCCCTAGTATATACTGTACGTGCATCCTATGCTTCAAGCTGTATGTCTGTATGTCATCAGGACAAAATGTGTATCTCCATTTTTTATGTAATTTAAAAACACTTGTTTTTTTTATTGTATAAATAATGAATGGACCAATAGAAATGGTCTCAAATTATTTGGAAGAAGTCCTTTTAACAGTTAACAATTTCCCTCTTCTGTGAAGTTACCATTTTGATAGAGTGTTAGAAAATTTTACTCTGATATTGATCATATACTGTATGTGTAGTCTTGCAAAGGTTTGGGCACACCTGTGTTGTTGATTTTCTAAGGAAAAATAGGTACATATCCTCTACATAGAACACACTTCTGCACATTTTAATGCACATTTTTATTTGCTGAATTTAACATATTGAAAAAATATGCGAAACAAAATGTGGCCTTTGCAAACTTATAGCATATTTTATATTTTATATTTTCTTTTTTTCCAGCCTATTAAACTCAGCAATTAAATAGAAAATGCACACTGAAATTTGCACATATTTTAATGTGTTCTCTGTAGAGGATGTGTTAACTTATTTTTACTTGGAAAATCAACAAAACGTATTTTAACCAGGGTTGTTCAAACCTTTGCATAAGACTGTATGTGCACCTTTGCGTTTGCACATTTTTGCTATAACTGACTGTTTGTGAGTGTGCGTGTGTGCGTGCGTGTCATGCACACAGCTCTGTAATGAGAAGCAGAGGCTCACACAGGCTGGCTCAGATTGAAGTGTAACTAAGCGTGCAGTAAAGTTTCAGAGTTCAGCAGGGCACAGGGCGAAAATCAGGATGACACCCATGATTCATAGCATCCTCTCTCCCCGCTGTGTCGCTCAAATTCAAGCCTTGCCGGGGAGCCACACCATAGAAAGAGAGGATGCTGGCCACCGCGGCTGCAAACTCCAGAGAACAGGCTCTACGCTGAAGCACAGAAAAGCCATTTAAACCTGTACTGGACCTCTGTGCTTCTGCCATCACTTTACTGGGGCCTGTGATTTTAAATACTCCTTTCATTAAAAGTCTCATTTTACAGCCTATTACAAATCTTTATTAAATGTCAGGACGAACAGCAGAACTTGCTTCATTGTTTTCTGATTATTGTACAGCTTTGTTGCAGCAAAACATACTGATATACAGGAATTTTCGCACGAGTTTCTGCTACATCCGTTGTGTATCGATTAACACTTACAGAAAGAACAGAAAACTTTTAGACTTCAATTACAATAGAAGCCAGTGGGCAAGTGCTGCTGCACTTAATACTGGGAAATGTGTTAAAATGCATGTCCATAGTATGCAAATATACAGGCATATGCAAATGTTTGGGCACTCCTGGTCAAATTAAATAAGTTGAGACATCCTCTACAGGCAACACACTTCTGTGCACTTTAATACACAGTTACTTTTTATTTGCTGAGTTTAACTTGTTGGGAAAAAAAATCGTAAAATGTGGCCAGTGCAAATCATTAGAAATTTAAATAAAATTTGCAGAAAAAATGGCATATTTATGCTTGTTCTTGTAGCGAAAGCGTTAACTTATTTTTATCTTATTGTTTTTTAACTTAATTTAACCAGGAGTTCTCACACTTTTGCATTTGACTTTATGCTACAGGTGCAAAATAGAGAGATTCGGGTTGGAGTGTGTCTTTAGGAATTCTGTATTTGTGTGTACAAACTACTACCACAAATATTAATCTTCAATAGAGATATAGAAGCACAAATAATAGGTGAAGCACAAAATTAAATTTAAATAGAACTGTATTGTTGTAGTGCAAAAAACAATGCTGACTATAATGCAGAATTTTGGCACTTTGGTCAAATTATGTGTTTTATTGATTTTCTGAGTGAAAATATGTATGTTAAACTCAGCAGAAAAATAGAAATTGTGCACAAACGTTGCAGAAAATGCCATATTTAAGTCCCATGTGTTAACTTATTTTCACTTCAATCAACAAAACTTATTTTGACTGTTTGCACTTTTGCGCAAGACTGCTAGTGCAGAGCAGATATAATTAACAGTCATGTGAAGTAATTATTTTATTTACTACACTAAAATATTTGTCATAAAAAATTATCACTAAGACTTGCTATAAATTTGTATTCATTGAACTTCAAATAATGTTTTAACAGAACATAACAGATTTCTGTGCTGTTTACTTACTATTAGAAGTTTAGTGAACTCAAAATTGTATTGCAGTAAGTTGACTTACTTTTTTAAGTTAAGACACCAACATTTTTTTTGCTGTAAATAATATTCTCATATCTTTGACATTTCTCTCAAGGAAAACAAGTGATCCACCCAAACCAAATCAAGGCTGTACAAGAAGAGTTCTCCCCTAGTCCTGAGAGAGTCAAATGGGCCACTGAGTTGATTGCTGCATTTAAGGAACATCAGAAGCTGGGGAAGGTAAACATCACTGCATCATCACAGCACCACTGTCACCCCCCATACCACCCTCCCATGTATGTAGTCACTGCCATGCAGTCAGCAGAGCTAAATTTGATGGTCTCTGATTCCTTGTACATTATGGACAGTGAAGCCACAGTCACACCGCTCTGCTGTTCAGAGCTTCATAAAGTGAAAGAAAGCAGGAATACTGTCATCCCTAATTCAGTGCATCACTGAGTCCTGTGTTTCGTGCTTATGGGGCTGCCCACACTGGAGATGGTGTGCTGCTAATGCACAATCTGCCCGCAATCTGCCAGTAATTCTTAGATTAAGGCTAGCCTGTGGATGCTCGCGTGGCCCTCTCAATGCTCCGCTCTCATCGCCCACCATTAGGCCGCACACTGGAGCACTGGCACTCTTTGGGTTTGCTTCTTTCCCTCTTGTTCTTTGGCCTATTAAACTCCACTTCAGATAGACAAGAAAAAGCCTATAAAACACACACCTGAGGTCTGGGCTCTTTCTATCACTTGGCATTTTAAGCTAATGTTGTTACTAACATTCACATTCATTGTGTTGCTCTTGGCAATAAACAAGCATTACTGCAAACACGACTGTGCGTAACAGAAGCTTATTTCGACTGGTGTTGGCTGATTGAAATATCTGGCACTGTGCAGTGGTGAAATGAATGAAGGCATTTAACAATCAAATAAAAGACTTCCAGCAATATTTCATGCAGCTGTCAGGAGCATTTCCTTTGTTTTTCCTCTTATTCCAGCTTTTCCCATGCAGCTAAAGAAGAGCGTCTTGGTGGAGAACATAGTGTTTTCACAAATATCCAACTGACACGAATAAAACACACAACACTGCATTTAGCCATAAGCTTCCTGCAAGGGCTTATTGATCCGCAGCGTACTGCCAAACAAATAGACACCACTTTTGTTAGAATGCCAATTAAACATGTAGGGCTGATTTAAATTATAATTTCTGCTCACACTGTCAGAAAGCTGTTAAATAACTGTTTGCTAACATGGTGATCCACATATTTCCTTCTAAGGAGCTCCTTACAGTATATTGCCAGTTACATATAAACTAATGCTGCCTTCACTTGCTTGTTAGGTGGTCTTACTTCCCTTTTGAAAAGTCATAATTATGAAGTGTGCATTGTTAATAGACAGACAGATAGATAGATAGATAGATAGATAGATAGATAGATAGATAGATAGATAGATAGATATCTAACACCAAATTACACAAAAGATACGTGCTTTGTCATTAGAAACATGGGGACTAGCAGAGCTATAAACACACCTTTAGCTAGTTAACTAGCTTGGTCAATTTTGATATCTTCTGGACATGCCCCCCCCCACCTTTGTAAAAAGCGTACATGATGCAGCTGATGGCTACAGATATCAAATGTTGGTGTCCTAATAAGTGGCTGCTTATTAAGCTGCATTTAGGAAAATAAACTGGCTATCTCTGATCACTGAAACCGTTCTTTCCTCCTTTATGATGAAAGGTCAGTAAAAAGCTGGAAACCACAAAGTGACCACTTGTAATTGCTAGTTTATGGGATGTTCATGTGCAACTTTAATGGAGTGGAAGACATGTTTTAAATACAAAAATAACCGTTTTAATCTCTGTGGGCCTTTTTAACGTTTTAATTTATCCAGTATTGTTCTTTGCTCTCTCCAGGGTGCGTTCACCTTCCATGGCAGTATGATTGACATGCCGTCATTGAAGCAGGCCCAGAACATCGTCACCTTGGCCTCAGCCGTCCAGGGGAAATGAGCCAAACTGGGGCTGTGCGGGCAGCCGTATCTGTCACCATGCAGGGCATCGGATGATAAACTGGGAAGTCCAGACAGACGTGTGTCCTCTTGGATCATTAGCTGTAGCTCATCTAATGCTGTCTAAAATCAGCAGTAGCGAGTGGTCTGATGGCATGTTCTTCAATTTCAAAAACATTCTTAGTGTATCTATGATTTTTATTTTATTTATATGTTATATATAAATTTATCACACACACGTACAGTACTGTGCAAAAGTCAGAGACCGCTCTTCATTTAATCAGTTTCCAGTTAAAAATTACCTTTAAGTACACATTCATTTTTCAGCAAATATTGCTGCGGAGATTTCAGATAATGCACTCGCATAAGGAAGGAGAAAGTCAAAGAAAAAGAAAAATGATGAAAAGATACAGAAGAAACAGCATTCCAACATACCGTAGAAGTCCTGGTAGACCACCAAACTGTCATCATAAGATAAACAGTACTTAAAACTTTAATCTTTGAGAAAGAGGAGAAAATCAAGCTCCACTCTTGCTTCAGATCTGAAGAAATCTACAGATGTTTCTGTCCATCCTTCAACTGTGAGAAGACAACACTATAAGTCTGAAAATATGTGTAGCTGTCAAGAAGCCCTCACTGAGAAGAGGAAATGGACAAAAAAGAAGAACATTTACAAATCATACAAAGAAGCTGCTGGTGTGCTCAAAACAATGAACTGACCATCCCATAGTCCAGACCTGAAAATCACTGAATGTGTTGGGATTACTTGGATCATGTGAAGCAGAAAATTCAACCAACTTCTAAGACTGAACTTTGGAGGTGTGGAAAAATATCCGTGCAGATTTGAAAAACTGAAAGCAGGTCTCCCAATAAGAATGGAAGCTGTAGTAAATGCAAAGGGTGGACACACTAAATAGTGAAAAAAGTGATATGTTTAGTTGTTGAGGCTTCTGTGCAATTTTCTGTTGAATATGTTATATGTTTTTGTTCTGATGTTGAAAAATGAACAACTTGTACTTAATGGCGATTTTGAATGGAAATCAAATTAATTAATGGTGGTCTCTGACTTTTGCGCAGTACAGTATATAGGTACATACATGTGATTTTTTTTTTTCCCTTATATATATCAAGGCAGTGTGCTGTTTGTGCGCATATGTATATGTATGTGTTTGCCTTCTGCCTTGCTCCGGTCAGTTTCTGGGCCAGGGTTCTGTGTGCCTGGCAAAAGGGCAAATAAACAGTTGTTTCTCCATTCAGCCCTGAGGCTCCTCTATGCTCATCCAGTCCACAGCACATCAAAACAGCATTTGCCAAACAGCCACCATGAATGTCCTTAAACCAACAGTGAGAGGAGAGTTCAGGCCAGCAGCCCACTCCAAACCACACGCCTTTGTTTAAGAGGGCACTTTGAGCTGGTGAAGAGAGGGGGGGATGAATACATCTTGAAGCAGGCATCAGCTCTAAGCTGACCTGCTTGGCAACATTACACGCACGCACACTCTGCAGGAGCCAGTGTTTGTCCACTTTCGTGATATCTATAGTTACACTGTTTTTTTTGCACTGCTTTGTTACTCAAACCTTGTGGCTTGTGGACTCTATCCGGCCAGTGTAAGAATCATCCGCTTTTCACCCTGAACATGCCCAAGAACTGAGATTACACGCTGCCATTGTCCTCATGTTGCTGACAAGCCTCCAACAACACTACATGTTAAGAAAGCTCCTTTTTAAATAAAGCTCCAGGATGTCATTTTGAATGAATGACTGTCATTTTGACACTTGTGCTTGGGCTTTTTTTTCTCATGAATGCATCCTACAGAACACTCTGTTTTTTCTCGTGGCTGCCAGTCTTTTGTCTCCCACTGTTGATGAGGCCTTGGCAAGAAGGGCTGAAGGGGTGGGGAGGGGTATGAGAGCAGGGTGGAGGGGTTGGATGGTTAATAGTTCAGTTGGTCACTATGGTAATGAAGGCCTCGGTGTAGCGTTCGGCTGGATGTGGCATGATCAATCGTGTCTGTGGCGAGTCTTCAGGTCTGCGCTTGGTGCCAGGCTAGGGATGCAGACAAAAAGATGGAGGCCACTGCTGTGACCAGCCCAAAGGGCCGACAGTAAGCTGCCTGCCTGGCACCAGGCCCATGCTCCCCACCCCAACCCTCCCCCTTCACTTAGCCTTTCATTCTCATTTATTTTTAATTTTGTAATGGTTTTTATATTTGTTTTGGTCAATTTCATTTTCCGCCCTCCCATCATGTCTTGGCCATGGAGAAACGCCCAATGCCTGGCCGGCCGCTGCTGAATTTCCCACAGTGAGACACGGTGTCTGCGTAAGTCAGTAGCTCAGACACTGGGCTTTAAGCCCAATAGGCCAATAGACTTAGAAAGATATGCAAGATGTGTAGTGATGGAACCCCAGGTTGTAAGACTCATCTGTAGCTGTCTTGAAGAGCTTAAGAAAGCTTGCACTGCTTGCTAAGTCTGTCAAAGTGAAGCCATGTAAGGAAAACAAAGCAGAAGCTGAGACATAACTGAAACTCTGTTTTCCACTTTAGTCAAACACCCGTTGTCAAATATTTTTAGTATTTCCTTTAGGAAAAGTGTACTGTAAGTACAGTATACAAGTGCGGTGTGACTGACCCCACTATCTGGACTTGCGTCTTTATCATTGAAACTCAGTGTGAAGTGTCAGTGAGCAGATGTTGGTCAGGAGTAGGTATTTGCAAGGGGTTTATTTGCTTTTGGATCTGAAACTTTCCACTGTACATTGTCAGATGATATGTTTTTTCATTCATCAAGGCACAAGCAAAGTAAATGTACTCAGAAAGGTACAACAGTGGTTTTAAAGTCCAACTGTGTACCTTAAGTAAGTTATTTCCCCAGAGGAAGAGTACTTACTTGTACCTTTTCATAACCTGATGTTTAAAAAAAAGAACAATGAAATAAAAAAGGCTGGAGAAAGGTTGTGTGGAGTAATGCAGTTTTTGAAGTATGATTGCAGTTATGTTCCCTAACTAAAGGTACTGAAGACATAATGTTGTGGGTGCCACCCCAGTAACAGTTGAGTTCCCCTTTTCCTGAGAGTACATCTAAAATACAGTGAGACATGCTTTTGTACTTAGCTATGAAATAATCCTTACCGATGTGCTGCCAAGCCTGTCCACTGTTCTTCTATTAAAAATCTTAAGCGCATTACTTAAAGCCATTATCTTGCCGTTTTGGTATGCAAGAACACTGTATATCACTGTATACAGCAAAACAAGAACAAAAAAATCATTGTTTTGAAAAAAGTGGTTGACATTAATTGAGCTTGTTTGACAAACAAACTTTGGTTCTAGATTTCTCTTCAGCACCCCAGTCATGTGGACTTCATAAGCACACCTGATTTAACATAATGAAGCTTTAATGAGCCAAACCAGGTATTTGGATGATAACCACAGCCAACACCTTCCAGTCTCCGAGGTTTGAAAATAGTTAAGAGCACATTGACATGTAAAATCACTTTTTATCCTATTAATATTATTTGTATTTAGTCTTTTTTCCATAGCAAATAACCACACTCACTGCCCAAATAAATAACTTTTTAATACTATTGTTCTCAGATGCATAGGCGTTTGCACCGTACACTGTACTTTCAGTGATATTCAGTGGATTTGAGTGATGGCCTGAGCTGGAGCTGCTCACTCTTTTCCATCTGTGTGTAATTTTACATGACATTTCTATTATGCTGCTAACTTGACATAATCTCCTCAGCTCACGAGGCGGAATTATTTAAATACATTTGCTACTATTCCCAAAGAGAGTTCATTACAATTAACGCGATTAGGACCTCGACGCCACTCAATTAGGCCGGACTCGAGTCCCTGTGTTGTGCGTTACGTGTCGAGATTGCTTTCGGAAACCATCAGGCAGAAATCCGCCGGAGAAAATGCGCGCGTATGCAAAAACCCCGTCAGAGCGAAATTAAAACGAAACGTTTTGCATATTTTCATTCCTCTCGACGGGGCCCGCGTGGCGGAGACGCCTTTACTCGCCTAATTTCTCGCCCGGGGATCTGCCAATAATGACTTCATTGTTTTACTAGCGCGCTAATGACAATATGTGACAAACCAATTTCAGCAAAGATTATTCCCCCGCCATAAAAACCAGGAATAGCTTATAATGGAGCGAGAGGCTTCTTAAGGCCAAAGACCATTTAGGAAATAATGCGTAATTGAAATGAAATTTAATTCATAAGCAACGAGGATAAAGAGTAGAGAAGGAGCACGAGAGCTGTGCAGTAAAGCTGAGAGACAGAAAGAGAGGTGGGAGGGGGGTGGTAAACAGGCCTCGAGCTGCTCCTCTCAGCATCGTGGCGTCCTGCAGGTGCTCCTATAGGAAATCCCTCATTAAAACTTTCTTCAAGGCATCGCATGGGAAACGAAACAAGTGCAGACGGAGGTCTGAGAGCAGATACATATAGAAAACAATATCCTGATTTCTCCAGACAGCTCCAAAAAGGATTTTAAAATTAAAAAATCTAAACATACATACACATATATTTTTGCATATATAAATATGTTCAAAAAATATACATGCACACGTTTCACGTATGATTTTCTGCACGCTCATAGATAAAAGACAAAATGTATTACTTTGCTGTGATATAAAGAAAACAGCACAATGAAATTGAGTCACAAATTCAGGCTGTTTTAGATTGGAGGCCTTTACAGATTTTGGCCTATACTTTTCCCGCAAGCATAAATTATTTAGTGTGAACTGTGAATCTATATACTTATTTATTTGTGTTTTGTTTTGTTTATTTATTTACTTAAGAGAAATTGCTTTTGATTCTAACCATTGATATTGATTCTAATTATTAGGGTACAATTAATATTTTGATTTTTTGAGTTGCAAAAGTAAAAATGAATAAATAAAATATTAATAAAAAACCCGAAAAAATAGCGCATAAATTAACACGGACTTCATTTTTTATCTAGTGGATTTCGGACACATCCTAAACCTAAGCTCGCGGTGGCTGTTCATGACCAAGCCGTAGGTCTCGGTTGAAGCCGCTCATTTCTGAGTGTTACTCTCAGTGCGGCCTGAAGCGGGACTGCAGCGTGTCTGCTCGTGTATGACCTGGTCTGGACGCGGTGGTTCTCTGCGCTCTGTGTAGAGGGTCCGGAAGGCACAGAGCCGGTGCCGGTGCCGGCGCCGGCCTGGTTCGAGCGCTTTGGTCAGTCGGAGCAGACCTGCCTGTGTGAAGAGGAGGCAGATCAAAGGCCGGGGCCCAAAGGCCAGTAAAAACTCGGGGCCTTTTGTCTGCTGTTGCTAGGCTCCAGCATGGGAAGAGTGTGGGGCCGCGCTAATCACCCTCCATACAGTCCGCCAGAGCCCCCAAACTTTCCAGTTTCAGAGCGCAATCTACCTGTTTAGGCTGTTTATTCGCACCAGCACGCCTTGAAGACTGTCCGGCCTTTTCATCACAGCCGCTCTGCCTGGTCATCTCTACAGAAGTGTGTCATCATGTCAGATTGAATTATTATTAGAAAGATAAATCGGTACCACTTTAGAATAAGACTACTCTTGTAAAGGGTTTATGAATGGTTTAAAATTACTTTTTAATGATTATTATATAGATCATAAATACCTTAAAATATTAATAAGAAGTTACAACACAAACAGCCAGAGCAGTGCTGACCTGTTGTTTGCCTGATAGTAAAGCCACATTCATTTATGCTGTTAAACCTCAGACTGGTTACTGATCTCACTTTGTCTTCTTCGTCAGGCAGCATTAAACCTGTCAGCTTCATCAGATATTCATGTTTATCAAATATAACAGCTCACTTTTGCGCTTTTCATTGATGTATTTATGACACCTGATTAATAACAACTAACACTCTTTCTCTCTCTCTCTCTCTCTCTCT